TATTTGTCATTTTCATTCAAATCATTTTTTTTCTGTGATTTCTTCACAGTATAAAAATTTGTCCTTCCTTATTTCCCTTGGTATTTTTTATTGTTTATTTGTTTTTGTGTTTCTTCTAATTTAGTTTTCTTTGATTTCTGATTATTTACTCATTTCAGAGTTTTCCTGATAGCATTTGCTGTGGTTCTTTCATGTCTTGCATCATTTTCTGAATGAATTTTAGTTGGTTTCAAAAATAATAGGTTGGCTCAGCACCTGTAGCTCAGCAGTTAGGGCACCAGCCACATACATCTGGGGCTGGTGATTCAAACTTAGCCTGGGCTACCAAACAACAATGACAATTACAACAACAACAACAAAAATAGCTGGATGTTGTGTTAGGTGCCTATAGTCCCAGCTACTTGAGAGGCTGAGGCAGTTGCTACAAGCTATGACACCACGGCGCTCTACCAAGGGCAACAAAGTGAGACTCTATCTTAATTAAAAAAATATAATAGGTTACAATTTATATGATGAATCTAAAATAGTCAAACTCATAGAAGCAGAGAGTAGAATGATGGGTGCCAGGGACTTGGAGAGAGAACAGGGAGGTATTAGTCAAAGGGTACAAAGTTTCAATTATTCAAGATAAGTAAGTCCTAGAGATGTATGTGTAACTATAGATGTATGTGTAACTGCATACATCTCTAGGACTTACTTATCTTGAATAATTTAAAATCAAGGTACATATATATATATATCTTAACATAAAATTAAGAGATATATAACAAAAAGATTTGTGGGTCATTACAAAAGTTTTGAGGTACACAAAAATCAAGAAACATTAAATCTGCATGGAGGAAAACAAATGAAGCCGTCCCAGCAACACTGATAAACTATGCAAGTTGAAACTTGTACAGGTGAATCAGAAAGAACTCAGTCAACCGTGTTTCTTGGAAGTGAAGTAATGGACCATAGCACAGTCTGTCTCAAAACTTCCTTAGTAACTCACATACTATATAGCATAGTGCTTAGTTACCAACACTGTACTGTACATTTTAAAATTTGCTAAGAGGGTAGATCTTATGTTAATTGTTCTTATCACAAAAATAATAATAAAGAGTGTGGGAGGGAACTTTTGGAAGCAATGGGGAGTTTTAGGGCCTAGATTGTGCGGATGGTTTCACAGATGCATATTTATCTTTAAATTCATCAAATTGTACAACTTTTTGCATGTTAATCATACCTCAATCAAGTGGTTTAAAATAAATTTTAAAAATGGTAGATTATAGGGTTTTTTTTTTAGGGAAATTTTCTGATAACAGATT